CAGATACAGTTAACAGAAATTACACCGAAAATGTTGCAAAATGGTCACCAAGTTTGGCTAGCTTGATGATAAATGGACCTGCCTCTGGAATCTCATTTTTCCGGCAGAACTTTGCATTCTTGAGATTTTTCATGTTACGTTATGCAAGAGATACTACAATTTACAAATAATGTTACTAAAATTATTTACATATATACAAAATTCATAACAATACACACAGTTAAAAACACAAAAGACCGACAAATGATATTATAGATATTACTTCAGTGATTTAAAATTCAATCACATTTTATATTTTAATGGCAATACATTTTTGTGACATGTTTGCGACATCTTCTTGCAAGATTAAGTTTCTGCCTGCAAATTTAAAAAAAATAAAAATAATAATAATAATAAATGGGGGGGAGGCAAAGCTGATATTTCATTCATTTTCACTACAGAAATCATTTGAGCAGCATCTGGGTAGCTAAATTTGCTTTACAATCTTTATAAAAAGAATGCCTTCCATCTGGAAAGGTTTCATTAATAAAATTAAGGAGTTTTGTTCCAACAAAAGCACTTTACTTGTATGAGCCTTAAAATGTTTATTTATTAAGAATTTACCACACCACAAACTTAAAGTTGTGTTTTCTCCCAAAAGAAATAAGACCATGACTTGGGGGGGGGATAAATAAAATAGATGAAAAGAAAAATTAAACATGCTTTAATTAACAATGGCAAAAAACTTGATAGTTACCTGCCTCAAGAATGGGATTTTTAAGCTTGCATTATATGCATTACAATGTAAGAAAAATCAAAGAATTCCTATTCAGCTTTTTCCCCATACAATTACAGATTCAAATTTAAGGCAGATGCTTATCCATTCACGTAACTGCATCCATATATGCAATAAATGAAATAAAGCTAAAACAAACTAATGAATTCTGCAAATAAATTAATATTTCCTTCATCGGCACAAGATAAAATGGTCTTCCACAGAACCTTCTTCTACTCCACTCTCCATGTCTTCCGGTTTGCAATTTTGATTTTAATTAAAGGCCTCCTATAAATATAGTCTAATTATCCAATCCCAGATAATTTTGCATTGACTTTTAGTTAAAAATTTTAAATGTTATGGAAGAAATTACTTGGTAAATGTGACCAGCAAATTTCATGCAATTAACTTTTAATGTATTTGACAGTATAGTCAACCCCTCTATAATGAATTTCCAAGGGACCAGAAGTTTGGTTCACTACATCTAATGTGATAAGAAAAATGGATTACCTCAAAAAAATGTACAAATTTTTTTTTTCGATCATGTCTAAATTCATTGGCCTTTGACGCATTTGTCCAGATACTGGCTGATTACGCTCTTTGATGGCAACATTCAGATGCTCCGACTCAAGCTTACTTCTTACGTTTCCCAGCGCTTTTTTCCAGATCCAAAGTTTCAATTTTTTCAAATATCCATTTCAATTTACAGTACACTCCGATTATCGCGGAATTGGGTGGGCGCCGCGGGATAACAAAAAACGCGGATAATCCGAAAAAAAAAAGCTAAAAACGGATATAGCAAAAGAAAAAACAGTCATTCCAACTTTGAAAAATCGTTTTATATACAATAAAATGTAAAATAAACAGCGGGAAATGTTTAACTAACGCTTAATATTTTAGTATATCACTCAAAACTATCCTAAAATGCATTTTGTTAATGAAAATAGAAAAGTGTTTTGTATACTTACGAGAGGCGTCAAGGATACACAGAAAAATTAATACATATGTTCTGTTTTAATACTGTAATGTATTATGTAATTACAAAAGCATAACTGTAAAACTAACCTTTTTGAAACAATCAGTCATTTGTGTTTGCTTTGTGCTTTGGAAGCATTTTCTCTTGATCCGAGATTGCATTTTTCGTAGCATAAGTTTCTCGGCCAACTCCGTGTCGTCTTGTTCTTCCAAATAGCTCAGTAATCTGTAGACTTGTGCAAAGCCACTTCATGAGTCTTCTGCATATGCACAGTATCTTCTTCGTCTTCACTTCACTGTCCTTCATTCTCGGTCTCTCCCCTTGCTTTCTTCACAATTTCGTCATCTGTCAAGCGTTCAAAGTCAGGTTCGTTGACGTCACACTCCAACCACTCGTTAATGCTTTCAGCATCAACGTTCTCACCACTCGGAACTGTTTTCACCATATCGGCAAAAGTTGCTGTGGGCGTCTCTATAGCTTCCTTCTCTTCTTTACAACTCAAAGGGGTTAGGTTGTTGTTGGCTTCAACATTAGGCATGAGTTTTCTCCATAATGTTATGAGGGTTGACGGTTTCACTGAGTTGTATGCAGATGCAATATCGTAGATGCTGTCGAAGATTGTGTAGTGTTTCCAAAACTCTTTCAGATAACCTTCTTCAATTTTGGTCATTAGCAGCTTGGTTCTGTATGTTCTCTTCATTGTTGCAATGACTACTTGTTCCATGGGTTGGGTTAGCTCAGTAATGTTTGGGGGGGGGGGGGAGAAACTTTGCAAAAATTTGTCCATCAGAAGACTTAACATGCTTGTTGCTGACTGAGAAGGTGTGTTGTCGATCAATAGCACAGCTTTTTCAGGCAGGCTTTTCGATTTAAGATGTTTTGCACTTGAAGAAAAAAGATGTTTTCGAACCATTCTTGAAAAATGTTTCGGTCCATCCATTCCTTTTTTTGGTTAAAGTAAACAACGGGTAAATTTTCTATCCTTGTGCCTTTGAAAGATCTCTTTTTTTTTTTTTTTTTTTTTTTTTTAAACTTTCCAATGACAACAAGTCTTAAGTTTATGTCCACCGGTAGCCTTACTGCAAGACATGATAGTGATCCTATGCTTTGCTGCTTTTATAACCCGCCGCTTTACTTTCATTTTCAAATGCTAAAGTGCGATTCCCGATTTGTCGACAAAAGTCCCGATTCGTTGGCATTTTAAATTTGATCAAAAGATAGCTCTTTTTTTTAATACAAATTCTTCAAATTCATGGTGGAAATCGTCGGCTGCTTGTTGGTCACCACTAAGTTTCTCCCAATGAAGTCCAATTTCTCGAATTCCATGTCGCTGCTTAAAACGAGTCAACTAGCCAAAAGATGCATCAAAATTTCCTTTCAGGCCTAACAACTCAAAAAAGGTTTTTGCCTTCGCCGCAATGATAGGACCATTTACAGGAGTACCCTGTTTTCGTACTTCAGCTAACCACTCTGTCAATGCCGTGTCTAGCTCATCAAAGGTAGAACCTTTCACACTTTTTCGCGTTTTCTTTGCGGAAGCACTATCCGACATTGATGCAAAGTTCACCAGTTTGTCTTTTTGCTTTAGAATGTCACGCACTGTTTTCACTGTTGTTTCCGCGATTCTGTAATCCAATTCCATATGCTACCTTGTAGCGCTGTTTGCTACTTTGGAAATTAATTCTAGTTTTGGCGCTATCGTCAACACAACCTTCTTTCATTTTCCTGACATTTTAAATGAGTAACAAAAACACAAAACCAAAAAGCACAAGCACTGAATACAATAAAAAGATAAGAAATTTAACTCGGACCGGTTCACAAACACTATTAGGCTTAAACTAACAATGGCGAGTGAAAGGAAGTGAACGTGTCAGTAAGATTAAGACGAGAAAGGGCGGTGGAGCGGGCACTGCAAGCGTGAGTAATCACTTACTCATCATAGGGGCCGAGGGTAAGGTTCCGAGAAGGCCTGGGATATTTTTGCAATAAATAAGCACGATGTTAGCAAATTTACCGTTTCGCTCAGTTTTGTGAAAATTTTTATTTTGTTTGCTTTACGCTTGTTTTTTTAAAAAAAAAAAAATGTGCGGTAGGCGCGGATAATCGGGAGTCTACTGTAGAATATTTTCGGCCTATCACCCCTTTTTTATTTTCAAAATGTATCTTTTAATACAAATCCAGCGATAATTTTTGAAAAACCAGAACAGAGAGTTGGTAAGATATGCAGATTTGACTCTAGAAATAGGAAAAAGAAAATATTTCCATTATGGTGTCTTATCCAATTCCATTAAGAACACAATCATTTTCGCTAAGTATGTATGACTGTAGCACAAAGATTCAATATGGTATTAAGAAAGAAACAATTGAATAAAGAACAACAAATGAACAAAGAAAAATCAACAATAAACTGCAATAATTTTTTCTATGTATGTATAAGTGTAGCATGAAGATTCAATACGATATGGTATGGTTGTAGCACAAAGATTCAATAACTCTTTCTAAAGAATATCTTATACAACATCGCAAAAAACCTAAAAAATACAAAAGCTTTGCTTGGAAACTAGAACTTGGACAGCACTTATATTCAAACAAAACAAACCAATGAGGATCAAAATTTTACATTTTCCTGAAAGAAGAATCAACGGTAAAACTGCACGCATATAAGAATCGAAGCTTCACCTTCCCCAGAATAGCGAAAATTTCAAAATTTCTGTCATAACTTCTGCTTTGAAAAGAGTTCTGTCTGGCAGGTCAATCAAAAGAATTTCAATGAAGTAATAAAAGGAGGATTTCTTTTATGGATGGAATACAGATTCTAACACCCTATATGTGAATGACTGTAATGGTCAATTCCTCCCCCCCCCTAAAACTTGGAGAAATTAAAAAAAGATATGAAAAATACAAAAAATGTTTTAATCGTTATAGCCATACAGTTCACTATATACGATTTTCTTAGTCTTGGAAGTTCACTATATGAGTATAAAACAATATTAAGCTTATAAGAAACTAGTCAAGACTAAAGCTTTGTTCGTTGTATCTAGGGATTTGTTATAAGACAGCTTCGTTGTGCCAAGATACAAGCGCTTAATTTTCTTTATATAATTTGTTGCTATGTTGCCACACGTCATCAATCTTTACAAGACCAAATTAAAACCTTCCTTTCAAAAGCAACTAAATGAGTTTCTTGTATCTTTCGAAATACTTTGATTATTTTGAAAACAAGAATTTTCCTTGGTTAGTAGAGTAGCTGGAAAAACAATTCGAGCTTACTTTTCATTAATGTTTCCTCTAAATCATCTGCAGCAGTTTCAACATCTTTCTTTTCAATTGATGCTGCATGTTTTTCTTCCTGTGTACTTAGAAGTTCATCTGCCTGTTCTTCTGACACTCTGGCAGCATCCAGCCTTGAAAGCATCAACTAAAAAGATACAATTAAAGTACTTAATATTGCCTATTAGTTTTCCTTTAAAAAAAAAAAAAAAAACCTCTAGAAAAATATAATTAAAGTTTAATTTCATAACAGGCTATTAATGATTTTAACTAAGCAGTAAATAAATACATGAAAAATTTAAGTTAAAGAAAAAAAAAAAGAGAGAGATTTTAGATTATTGGGAGTACTTTTGTGGATATTTTACATAAAAAGAGATTTTCGCAATTATATATATATGTGTGTGTGTGTGCATGTGTGTATTAACACAAACACGGGGACTACAATTATACAAAATTATGTTGCTACATATTAAATGCGAAAATCATACTAAAAGAAATCATATATTAATTAAAAATTAAATTATAATAAAAAAATAATATATATAATACAAATATTAACCCTCTCACTGCATACTTTTTTATCAAAATAGGTTCAAAAAATTGCATATTTTTTAATTACATATTTCAAATCTGCATATATTTTAGAGTGAAATTTTTTATATATTTTAGAGTTAAACTCTTTTACAAAATTTTTTATATATTTTAGAGTTAAAATATACATTTTTTTTCCCCAAATATAGAATTAAATCATAGAAAAAGGTTGTCAGAATACCGAAATTGAAGAATAATGATACAAAAGGAAAATTTTGAAAATTAATATTGGTTAAATTATGATTTATTTTAGAAAATACAAAGGTAAAACATATATACTAATGAAAATGTTTGCATAATGTAATATTTTGCATATCAATTTTGCACCACTGTCGAACATTTTCAATAGAAGCTGAATTTTCAGATTCATCAATATCTGCAGAGGAATCTGAGCAATTCTCATCAGTTTCGCTATAACTATTTTCAATATACTTGAAATCAGAGTCAAAAGTACTATCAGTGTTGGAAATATCGTCAGGCATATAGGTTACATCACTCGTGAAAAACTTCCTGCCAGACATCTTTGAGCTCTGAAAAGTACGCACAAAATGCTACATTACGTATTCTCATATATTTAGCAGAAATATGGACAACTAAACGCCATCTGTTAGCCCACATCTAAATAAACAATTAAAAATCAGAGAAAAGCCGAAAGGAAACCTTGAACGGGGAAACAGCAGGATGCAGAGTTAAATAGATGGCAGAAATTCATCCCCGCGGCCAATCGCGGGTTGCACAAATTTTGCTACTTCTACATTGCCCGTGGAAATCGTGGGATGCACAGCGAGAGGGTTAAAATAAAAATATATAATACATATAATATAAATATTAAAATAAAAAATAAAATTAATCATATTAAAAGTTCTACATATTAAATGCGAAAGCAATTTTAAAACCATATCTTCAGTTTGTTTCACAGAAAAAAACATATGAAGCTTACTATTTTTAATGAAAAGGAATTAACTGTAGTCAAACACTTACATATTTAAGTTGTAAAACTTACAGTTTAATGCATGAAAATTCTAAACCAATTTTTCAAAAACTCAAGTGCTTTCATATGACATCATTACATTTCAAGTTTACACTTTATTTTGCATCGTCTGATATTTAAAAGCTAGTATTCATGCATTAAAAATTTATAAAATTATACAGTATTTCTATGATAAATCTCAAAATAATAATAAAAATAATAATAATACCTCAACAAGAGCCTCAGATGCCAACATCTCATAGCCATCATTGACAGTATCAAACGAACCAAGTGCATACATTTCCATAAATTTAACACTGTTTTCATCACAATACTCAAGCAAATTGATCATAAGCCCCAAAGACTGAAAGGAATTTATAAGAAATTATGTAAATTTATCAGCAGACTGTTGAATATTAGAATTCATATAGAATAAAAAAATTTAAATATATTATTAGACATTTTCTGATAGGTATAACCATTTTAACAATTACAAAAATCCCTTCTGTGTTGACCAACTCCCAAAGATGACCACTTCTGAAAGTGATCAATATTTCTCAAAGCATTAATGAATATCCATATTAAACATCACCTATCTAAAATGGCCACTTCCACAGCAGATCAAAATCATCTTAAACCATGTATGGCCATAATAAAGATAATCCATTGCATTATTTCTAAAAATCTACAGCAGGGGTACTGCAGAAATTTAGCATAAAGTGAGAAAAGCCCCCCCCAGTTAGCTGTAGTAGAATTATGAAAAGATATTGTACATTGTAATAAAGCTGTATAAAATTTGTATTAAATAGTATACTGCTTCATTTGATTTTTACATCACCTGGCCCAACTTGAAGGAAACGGAATTGCTGTGCAGTTTACGTGTGCTCTGAATGAATAACTTTTTTTTTGGCAGGGGGAGGCATTTTTAGGCAGATGAACTGTTTATATTAGCTGTTCTCAACCTTTTGACTAATGCGTACCATCTAAATAAAAATTGAAAAACTTTAGAACCATCACTACATTTTACAAATATTATTTTTCAATAAAATATTAGATTAGAAATTAGTTATCATTTTAATTACTAAAATTTAAGTTGTAATACCTTAATTCTAATTTTTTTATGCCTGACCTTATTTCACTTAGTTTTATCCATAAATTAGGATCCACTTTTAATTTGGCTCTGTATCTATTTTTCAAATATATCATGGAAGATAATTCTTGTTAACACAATAGGCTGTGTGAAAAGGCAATAAAAATTTAATAGCTTTATTTGAATGGCATTTACATTCTTTTTTCAGTTCAGCCAAAAGTTAAATCTTCAGTTACAGTTCCATCACAAATTTTAATTAATTGTTCTTTTTCTTCATGAGATGCAATTTCAGGTACATTTGAACAAAATGGATTTCTAGTCAATTTTCATAATTCTCAGGGATACATAAGTTGAAATTATTTATCATGATAAACAATGATTTTTAATGTTGGATGCTAATTCTTTACTTTCAAATTATTTTTGGTCAGAAAACTTTTTAAAAGTGGTAAAAAGTCTAAAATATTATTACCCAATTCTTTGGTTATTAGTTTGAGTTTTTTTAAGATTGCATTTATTTTCTCGCTACTGGTAGACAAATTTACATTTTGTCCTTTGAATCCATAATTTAATTTACTTAACTTTCTAAAAATATCACCTAAACAGGCTAAACGTACCAACCATAATTCACTAAATAAACATTTTTGCAATTTAAATTTTGAATCACAGAGGAAATTTTAAATTTATAATAAAAGTTCAAAAAGACAATTTAAGGCTTTGCCTCTGGATAACAACCTCATTTTGGAATGTGACAAAAGTGTTTCCAGTTCACTGCCCAGCTCTTGGCATAAAATAATAAATATTCTTGAATTTATAGCTCGGCTTTCAATAAAATTAATAATTTTCACAATTTGATTCAAAATGATTTCCAGGTTTTCAGGGATTGTTTTGGCTACTAAAGCTTCACGATAGATTGAGCAGTGAGTAAATTTAGTTTCAGGTATGACTTTCTTTATTTGAGAAATGACACAGAAATGTTTTCCTGTTAAAGCCCTAGCACCGTCACAGCATACGGCAATGCACTTACTCCAAAGAATATCATTCTCAGACACAGATACAAAATTGTCAATTACTTTGAAAATTTCATTTACAGTTGCTTTATCAATGAAAATATTCACAAATTAAACACACTTCGGCAATTCGTTCATCTTCTTCGAAACGTACGTAAACTAATAATTGAACAAAGATCGTTAGATAAGTATACTTTCATCCAAATGCAACGTGAAATACTCACTATGTTTTATTTTTTGAATAAGTGTCTGTTTTATGGAATTTGCCATTTCACGAATTCGTTGACTTACTGTATAATTTGATAATGGAATATTATTAAGTTCATTAGCCGCTTTTTCGTTGAATAATGTTAAAATCATACGTTTAGTTCCTGTTTACATTTGGTTTTTCTCCAATAGTGTGAGCCTGCCTAGTCTTGGCAATTCTAGGTAACTAGTCTCCACAACTTTTTCATTTCATTTGAAGTAACAAAACTTTTCATTACTAAGTTTACTATTTTTGAACTCCGATAATTTCCTCTTAAAATATTCTTTAAATTTACACTTTAAGCAGGCATGCTTAGATTCAAGATGTCTTTTATGAAACGATGGTTTCGAACAGTTCACTGCAAACAACACATTTAGGTTGAAGGTCCATTTCATCTCCATTCCAAGTAAATCCAAATGATAAATAACTTTCATATTTTCTATAAACAACTTTTTAACCTTCTTAATGCTGCTATATTGTCCTGGATCCATCACGTGTAAATCATCACTTTTCTGCTTAGGCAATTCTGACCATTTTTCCATTTTGAAAATCTAGGTTTGTTTTATTATTTTTTCACAAATATTTAAATTTCACAATATATTACGAGTTCTTCAAAAACAAATGACAATATTCTAAAATTGCATTAAGTAAGGAATACAAAGCAACAAGAAGACAAAATAGCTGCTACTAGAGACAGCTAATTGACATAAAATAATGATTCTGATTGAAAATAGAGCAATATGAGTTTGGAAATTGTGGCGACATAAAGTGTAGATATGCTAATAAATCGATCAACTCTAAAAGAATTAATGAGATACTATTATTTTTTTACAGAAGCTTATTTTTATTTCCCATTAAATACAACATCCTTTTCTATTACTCTTTTTGAAAACATCATTTATCAAAATTTTTGTTATGCCTACGGTTAAAAGAATTTTTGTGAAAACAAAAAATGATTATTTTGCTAAAGACTATGAGCAGCTATTGACCTTGAACAAAGTTTAGATTGTATAAATTTATAAGTGTTAGACAAAAAATTTAAACAAGATGTTGGGGTACTTAATTTTTGAATTTAATAGTTAAAAGTACTTTGATTTTTTGTGTACCACCGGTTGAGAATCGCTAGTTTATATCACAAAGATGACTAGTTTTGCAGCTAATAAGAGGCAAAATTTTCTTCCCTTTCAAAAATTAAATTCTCGTTCTGGCAAAGAAACATTGGAGATGAAAATGTAAAATGCATAAAGCCCCATAAACAGCAAGTCAGTTCCAAGAATTTAGAAACTGAAATTTAGAAACTTTCTTTCAAAGACTGAGCCCGAGCGGCATCTGATGATAACAAAACTAAGCAGAGTTAAATATCTCATCAAAACTGGTATGAAGGTTCTTGAAGGTAATGACTTCTCTGGATGCTAAGGTGGTTATGACATGCTAAGACATTCATTAAGCCTTCCAAATTAAAGTAATAATAAACTGCATCATAAATCATCTTCAAAAAGGCAATAAAATAAGTTGTTAATTTCTTTTAAGTAGTATTGACAATGTTTTTGCATAATAATGTATGCCGAATCAGTAAAGCAAGTATTCTATATGTGAATAACTATACACATTCAAGACAGAAATGGCAGAATTTTTGGCACATGTTCTAATTTCATTCAGGTAACATAAAATGCATTTGCAAAGGAAGAAATAGGCTATTTTTTATCGCAGTCTATGTTGCAACCATTCACAGTATAGTATCGCTATACTGTGCTAAAAATGTTTCATAATTAAAGATGGACTATATTCAACATTTCTGTATAAATAGTAAAAGCAATAAAACACTAAAAATCCAGCCTATACTTAAAATTACACATATTGTGAAAAGTATTAATCACAATACGCAAAAAACTACAAAATTTTAACATTAGAGTAAGCAATTTAATGATTGAGATACAATTTTTCATTTCAGCTGAGTAAATTTTATGGCTTTGCCAATGTAATACTTACTAAAACAAGGAGATCAAATCGCTTTTCAAGTGGTACAGCTCTGGGTACTTGTAAAATACAAATAAGTACATGATCTATTAAGCTTTCTCCAGAAGAAAACTGAGAATCGTCTAATGCTACATGTATATATATAAAAAAAAAAAAAAAAGAAAAGAAAAGAAAAAAACATTTAAAAATTACTTAATTCTTATTTTTACAGAATAAACAACACTGAGTCTGTTACACACATAAAAAACAGTTTTAAGATGTAACAGATTCAGGTGCAGCATTTATTATACTATATACATTTGTCTCATCTTACAGTTAGAATTAACACAACAACTGCCATACAAGCTATATAAATTACTAATACATGATTTATTCAAGCTAATTACTATTAAATTTACTACTAATTTACTTAATAATTAAATAGTTTTATATGTTAAATTAAAAAAATATCTTAATACATTTTTATTTTCACTAACTAATTAATCAGTCAATCATTATTTTTTCTTAAATGATTTTTTTTTTTTTTTTCCTTTCTACATGAAAGAAGACAATTAGAGAAAGTAACATTTTCTTCTTGAAATTAATACTAACTCATTAAAACAGATTATTATTTAACTTGGGGTTTTGGAAAAATATGTTAAACATTTTAATGCATATACATGAAGAAGCATAACATAAAAAGAAGAGGCATTTAAAAACATGTCTAAATAACCTTGAAAAATCTGTTGCAGATTAATGATTTGAATTAAAGAATAATTTAGTATTTAGAAAATGGCCATTTTGATCCCATGACATCTTTTAGTAAAAAAATAAAATTTTAATTTTAAATAAAATTCATTAAGAAAGTGCAAGAAGTTAGTTATTTCTTATATTAAAAAATTTGTTTAGTTAAATCCTTGTCTTGTTTTAAAAATAAGACAATATGCATAAAAATTTTCATCAATACATATATATTTTCACTTTTATGCAATTTTTGTTTACATTGAATGAACTATGCCATGTTCAGCAATTTTATTTATTAATTTTTTACAGTCCAAAGCAACTGCTTAATAGACTAAAATGCATCCTAAATAAAAATAATTCTTCCTTTCTTACATTCAAATTCTCAATAAATTTGAAAACTCTTCAAACTATTTAACTAATATAAAGAAATGCTCAAGTGCCTAACAATTATAAAAAGCTGGAAAGGGTGGGGGAGATTTTACTTTGAAGCAATTTAAACAAATATTAAAATACAAATACAGTCAAAAGTCTTAAATCCAGACCTCCATAATCTGGAATGACTTATAATCCGGACATCAAAGCTACAAACTTTCTGCGCATACGTAAATGCATAATGCATTTATGCATGCGCATAATACCTTTACGCATGCGTATAACATGTTTACGCATGCACGTTGAATGTTTAACGGATGGTATAAGCTAAGCTAAAATTATCTAATTATCTATTTCAGTTAATGTTGCAGATCGCGTTGTTCCTTAATCTTCGAATTGGATCTGGCTTATTATTTTTTGCAGGCTGTTAGAGCAATTTTATAAAAAAATAAGCTTGAACTTTCGATTATGTCAAAAAAGAATTTCCGATTCTGGAGCTGCCAAAGGATCTACAAGGCAAAAGCATGTTTCAATGTCCATCAAACAAAAAGTGGAATTGCTGCAAAAAATGGATAAAGGCATATCTATTGTTTCTCTAAACATTTTGAAATCTGTTTATCAATTTCACGCTGCTCTGAGGGGGGGGACGTCGCAGCGCGCAATGAACTGAAAGTTGATCTGTCAGCACTATCTTTATCTTCAGGGCAGATGTTTTTATTTTATTCGGCTTATAATTCCTTACTAAATATAGTATTTCCTCTCGATGTACTCCGTCTTTGATATGATTTAAATCAAATTCCTCATCATTATAAATATCACGAATCAAATAGTTTTCTGGTTGCAATTTTCTGATTTCGACTATGCATAATGTATGCTTTAAGCATGCGCATGTTGAAAGAAATGTTTAATAAAGTAAACAAATAAATATTAAGCTTTTGTTTTGTAAATTTTGATACCCTTTAGATCATAATTTATCTTTATTTCATAAATTACGGTTTCATATTTTTAATTTTATAATTTCAGCATGCCATCTTACCAGATTTAAACTGATGATCTATAATCCGGAATCGCCGAAGTCCCGACGAGTCCGGATTAAAGACTTTTGACTATACTCCAAATTTAAATTTACTTACGCATTCTGTATGTTACATTGCTAAGAATTTTCAACAAGTTCAAAAGACAAGACAAAATCGGAGATTCACTTTTAGTAGATTTCTCAGTCACTTCATCTGTTGTTTTGTCAATATCTACAGGTTTTTGTTCGAGAAGGTGGGATTTGCATAGTTTCATTAAACTAAAAAACACAAATACAGAAAAAATAACATTTTATCGTAAATATTTTTTAAATTAGCATAGAGACAGCATAGAGATAGACAGTGCTAGAAGTAAGAAATTTAGCACATAAATTGTCTAAAAGACTAGAGTGTACCTAAAAAGTGTTTTTTTTTTTTTTTTTTTTTTTTTTTTTCCACTGCACATTAAAATATTATCAGAACATTTTGCACATATTTTCACTTAACTAAAAAAAAAAAAAAAAAGGATGTAGACACCACGACTTCTTGTACAGCTTATTTAATTATACACATATTTTACTGAACTTCATTTATGCTTATTTTTTGAATTATTCTAACTTGAATATCTAATCCCTCAAGTTATTCAAGTTCAAATCAGTCAAGGCATGTAGGAAATGATATAAAAAAATTCCAATTTTGAAATTAAATATCAATTTTTGTCGCACTGGAGTCAAAACTTCTTATATTTCCTTTTTTTATATTTTTTTACTTAAAATTCCTTTTTTTTTTTATTTCTTATAATAATGAGCATAAATCTTCCCTAAATACAAGTATAGGAAATGGAAGACCACATTAAAAGACAGATTTCGTTATTTGTGGAAAATGAATTTTTTTTTTTTTTTTTTTAATTTGAAACTGCCAAAACATGATTATGTTTGTTATTTCAAACACTTCTGTACTTGGGAGTATATGGCTAAGCCAAGTAAGGACTCATAAGTTTTAAGCTGGGTATGGGTGTGTGTACACACACACATATATATTGTTACGAAATGTACAGGTGCAGTACGATGGCTCCCCCGCCAAGCAGTTTAAGGGTTGCCATAAAATGCCACGCAAAAAGGCAGGGTTGCTACATTTGGCAAGAAATTGCCAATTCGGCGACATGCCATGGACGGATGGAGAACCTTCTGGAACAAATTCTTACTGGTTCACCCCAGAATGTTCTCGAACACAATCCGAAAGCTATATAAACCCTGCTGGTTCGCAGTCAGTCATTGAGCGAGTGTCTCGAAGTCGAATGCATCGAAGAGTCTCTAGTGTATCGCAGTTAGTGCATCGTCGAGAGAGTCTGTTAAGCTCCGGGAACGACTGAACCGAAGAGTCGGGAGCTGTGCTCTGTGTGTCGTCAAGTGCATTGCGAGTTGTAGTGTGGAGAGTCTCGAGAGTAAGTGGAGACTGATCAGAGTCGGGAGCTGTACTCTGGTGCTTTGCAGTGAAGCTGTCTCCACCGTTATAGCCTGATAACCTGAAGGCTGTGTTGTTGATTGTGTCAGCATGCTTATACTAGTTCTTCGGCGATTGTAATGTGATTTTGGAGCTTTCCTGATTAGTACTGGCTAAATAAAGTGTGTTTTGATGCTTCATTAAGTGCTGTCATCATTATTCAAATCCACACAAAGTCCATATGAATGTGAAGGAAGAAAATAATGTAACAACTGGTGTCAGAAAAGAAAAACGCAACAATATATATATGATGCTGCCAATTGCAATAAAAACGAGAGGTGCATAACTAGATATTATAGCAGTTGCATACACAAAACTTCAACATTCTAAGGCTAACCGTTTTTGAGTTACGTGAAATACATACATTCTACATATATGAGAATATCTCTTTTAAATCCATTTAGGGAAAAAGACAAAGGGAAAAAAAAAAAAAAAAAAAAAGAGTTCTTTATTGTATGTGCATTTACAGATGTCACACACACACACACACGGGGAAAAAAAAAAAAAAAAATCAAATCAGTTGTCCTTCAATTTTTAACTTTTTTAGTGGTCATCATGCCCTGGAATCTAAAATACGCTCTCACATCCCCTTAAAATATGTGTGCATACTTTTATTAAAGAAAAAACATTTATTGCATAAACAAATGCAGTGTTTGTTTACAATATATATTGTTCTAGAACATAAAAAGCAATCCTTAAATTTTAATGGCTAGTTTGTTATTGTTTATTTTTAATAATTCTATTAAAATGAGGCTTTTTCTAAAGAGCCATACATAAGTCATCAGATGCATTTATGCAATTTCTGGCTGTTTTATATTATTATTTTTATGTGCAATACTGAAAATTCCATTTCACAAAGGTAGGTTGCATATATTAAAAGTGTCTCTAGTGCTGCTTTTGCCAGTTGTGAATAAGCTTCTAACTGTTTACACGAGAACCGTTCTAAGTCTAGTTTTTCAAATTCCATTTCCATACACACATTAGCTCATATTTTGATACGATCTTATTTTAAAAAATTGTTGTCATCCATTGAATTCGGATCAAACAAAAATGAATTGAGTATCTATCTATTAATTTTGCCAATATTTCCTGTGGAAAAGTATCCATCAAATGATTCACTCAGTTGGCTGGAGTTGAATTACAATTTATAGTATAATTACTTTTTTTCATTTTTCAAAATGACTGAATGAAGTAAAGAAAAGTTTGCTAAATTCACATGATCAACTTTTCCAAAGTTTTAATTTTTCAATAAATGAAGCTGATTTTTCACTAACTGTTATTATGTTCCAGACAAATTCTTGAAATGAAATGCTTACTTCATTATGTGGTAAAATATATCTGCTACATAGGCTAGCTGAATCAATGTATCTCTAGTTGTAAAAGCTTCCATTAAATCACTATTTTGAACTGTTTACATTCTGTACATAATTCAAAAAAACTCTTCAGCAAGCGGCCCTTGGAGAGCCACTGTATTTTCGCATAACAAAAAAGCACAGTATGAGCAGCACTGATTTCTTTGCACAAAGCATGAAAAATATGATGATTCAGCACTCGCCCTCTGATGTACTGCATTCGCTGCTGTAGTTAGATATTGTTTCAAATTCTCCGACAAAGTTTTCGATGCAAGTGCAAGAATGGTGATGCAACATGCAGTGCTTTATTGTAACTTGAGTACTTCTCTTCTCATATATAAACTAAATCCAGAATTTGTACCCAACATTGCAGGGATACCATCAGTGCAAATTGAGCCTATAATACTCATGGGTATTTGGTGTTTAAAATTTTTTTAAATATTATTAAAATTATCAATGCATTTTATCATTGAATCAAGCGGAATAGCATTCATAAAATATAAACTTCTATTATTTCATTTTCTTTAATGTATTATGAAAATACAAATAACCAATTGCAGTTATCAACACCAGTTGGATGCTTATTTTTAGAGGACTGGCTTTGATATCTTTTGCAATTTGCAGTAAAATATCAGCAATGAGATCTTCAATGCGTGATTGAATCACATCATTTGATAGTGGAATTTGTTGAATTTTCTTTTGTGCTTCAGAACCAAACAAAATTTTTGCATTTTCATGTGCATATGGTTTCACTTAGTTCTTCAGCTATTGTATGGCTTTTTTTTTTTTTTTTTTTTTCCTTAGCACAGATATGCTACTTGATAAGAAGCTTCTAGCAAAGGCTTTTCAAACTGCTGCAATGTTAAATTTTGTAACTGTTTCACTGGCATCAAATTGTGCTTTCTTAGATTTCAAACTGCAGATTCACCACCTTGCTGATTATTGAAAATTTCTAACAACTTTGAAGGTTTAAGATTGGAGTTTGAAAATATTTTGCAACATAAAATACACTGTCATCATTGTGATTGATTCGTCATTGTATCATGATACGAAACCAATTTTGAATTTGTTTCATATTGTGTACCATCTTTTTGTGTTGTACAAATGAATCCATAAACAACATAATCATCTTTGAATTGATGCTTTTTCAACGTAACGAGCAAAACTACAATTAAAAAAATTATACAAATTTTTATCGATGGGTAAATTTATTTAATTTCAATAAATACTAAACAATATTAATTAATTAAACTAAATGTTACAAACCTTGTTTACATTCTTATTCAAGGTCTGCAAATACATCTCAACTAGTTTCTGTACTGTAGGTGATAGTGTGACTACATTAACTGCATGTACTGACAATTGATGACAAGCGTGATGTGCTGAGCAAGGAGGTTAGCAAAATGGAGTAGGCCTTCCCCATATGTCCCAGCAATGAGGCCACGAAACGTCACGGAATGACATCACAACTCATCATACCCACAGCATGGGTTGGTTTTGTTTACATTTTAATTGTTGATATTTGTAATATGCATGGTCACCTCGTTCGTATTTTTAGCCCAAAAGAGCATTAGTTCAGAAGGGCCATTAATTTCAAAACAGGATTTTGTTTTGATTTACTATAAAAATCTGAATCACTTTTCAAATTGTTGCCACCAAATATTATTGTCCTGTATTACTGAATAATTTGCATGAATGTAAACATGTTCCCTCCAATGTAAAAAAACAATAAAACCATGGTACCTAAAAATCATTAAATTTTGAATAATGTAGTCCTCCACCCGAATATGGACATCTGAAAACCCAAATTTTGTATTTGTTTTATTGTGTATTTCACATTTTGTAAAATTTTAACGAATTTTTGATTTCAAAGCAAGCAATGGCAACACTGTACAAGAAAAACATTTTTACCTCAGAAGTACAAGAAAAACATTTTTACAGCAACGGTTATGAGGATGAACAGCATGCGAGACTGTTTACCAGAAATTCTAAAGATATGCTGTTTTTAAATATTTTATTGTGTACTTCAAACTCTGTAAAACTTTAATGAATTTTTGATTTACAAACTCAACGATTTCAAAGCAAGCAACAGCATTAAACCTGCATTTAAAAAAGAAAATCGCCAACGCGTGAGACTGCCTATCAGAAATTCTAAAGATAGGCTGTTTTTTAAATACTTTTAGCCCAAAGGCACATTAAGCCTAAATGCTCTCAAAATGTGTATGTGTAAGTAAATAAATAATAATAATAACACTTTGGGCTTTTTTTTTTTTTAAATTTTTCTTGCATTCCTGGAAATCCTCTCTCCAGGATTTCCAGGAGTACTTGCACTCCAGGCTAAGAACCACTGGTCCAAATGGATTCAGGAACGATCAAAATGGAAATTTCCTCTGAAAAATTTTTCATGATTACAATACTTTCTTTACTTAATATAAGAAAGTAAAAACTATTTTAGAATTTCATTGTTTTCATCATCAGATACAGAAGGGGAAAAACAAATCTTCAAAATAAAGTTTACGCTGAATCTCTTCAAAAATCATCTGATTGTTTCGATATATGCTCTTTTAAAACAAGAGTGGTTAATATTAGCTTCTGATTTCTCTCTCTCTCTATATATATATATTTCAGATATGCAGCATTACAATTTTAAGAGGGAAATTTTTCTTTTCTCATATCTGCCTCTGACCATGTGATCAACACTTGGATATACTTTTTAAAAATGAGATAAGGTGACTTTCTAACTTAAAACATAATTTTTTCCCTACACTATTTTAAATTCACTTTCGACAAACAGCCACTGATTCTTAAAAACAGATTTTGTTAGATCTTTATAATATTACCATTTCAATCTTAATTCTACTCGGCATTCACAAAGAACTCTTGTTTTCATATTTTTTGTGATATTTTAATTCACTGTTGAGCATATAAAATACATTTATGAACAATAATATAATTGAAACCAATAAATGTTAAATGCTAGAAAAATGCTTCTCTTGTGATTAATTATAATAACTAGAAGTAACATACAGGTTCTATGTCACTAAATATAGCACTAAAAAGAAGAAAATATGCATGTTATTTACAATTATTAAAAACAAAATACCTTAGACAGGATACAATTAAAGATGAACCCTTGTAGTTCATCACATATTCTTGATTTTCAGAGTTCATATGTGTTACCTGCATGAAGATAACATAACTTTCAAACACAATAAAATCTGTATCTGAAAAAATAATTATAATAATGCAATTAAAAGGCATACAGAATTTACACTAAAGTGACAAAAGTCATGGGATAGCAAATATACAGATGGCATTAGTATCGCGTAGAAAACGTATAAATGCGAAGTGCTTTGGAAGGGCTTTCATTTGTGTTCAAGTTATTCATGTGAAGAAGCTTTGACATGATTATGGCCGCACGACGAGAATTAACAGACTTTGAACGCGGAATGGTAGTTGGAGCTAGACGCATGGGCATGGGTCATTCCATTTCGGATATCGTTAGGGAATTCAACATTCTGAGATCCACAGTGTCCAGAGTGTGCCAAGAGTATCTAATTTCAAGCATAACATCCCACCATGGACAGCGCAGTGGCCGACCACCTGCACTTAACGACCGAGACCAGTGACGTCTGTGTAGAGTTGTCAATGTTCACAGACAAGCAACACTGCGTCAAATAACCGCAGAAATCAATGTGGGATGTACGAGGGACGTGTCCGATAGGACAGTGCGGAGAAATTTGTCTTCCTTGGGCTATGCCAGCAGAAGACCGACTCGAGTGCCTTTACTGACAGGACGACATTGCCTGCAGCGACTCTCGTGGGCTCGTGAGCATATCGGTTGGTCCCTAAACGAATGGAAAACCGTGGCTTGGTCAGATGAGTCACGATTTCAGTTGGTAAGAGCTGATGGTAGGGTAAGAGCTGATGGTAGGGTAGAGCTGATGGCTGATGTAGAGCAGACCCCACGAAGCTATGGACCCAAGTTGTCAACAAGGCACTGTTCAAGCTGGTGGTGGTTCCATAATGGTCTGGGCTGTTTTTACATGGCATGGATTCGGTCCTCTGGTCCAACTGAAACGATCATTGACTGGAAATGGATACCTTCAGCTACCTGGAGATCACTTACAGCCATTCATGGACTTCACGTACTCAAACAACGATAGGATTTTTATGGATGACAATGCGCCATGTCACCAGGCCACAATTGTTCGCGATTGGTTAGAAGAACAATTCCAGCGAATGATCTGGCCACCTAGATCGCCCGACATGAATCCCATCGAACATTTATGGGACATCATCGAGAGGTCAGTTCGTGCCCAAAACCCTGCACCGTCAACACTTTCACAATTATGGACGTCTATAGAGGCAGCATGGCTCAATATTCCTGCAGGGGACTTCCAACGACTTGTTGAGTCCATGCCACGTAAATATTAGGAGGAATCCCATGACTTTTGTCACTTCAGTGTATGTTTTATTTCATTAAAAAAAATTTTTTAACTGAAAATTACATTTTCCAAAACTCTTAAACATCTGTCTATCTTTCGAATTCTGTCTAACTGCACTTCTGTAGGATGAAATATAATTTCATTTTCTTCAGGTACCAGTAAAGCAACGCAAGATGTAACTGAAAGATAATTTTAAAGTAAATTTTATGAAATTTCAAACATGGAAATACATAATAAAAATATGATCAGGAAAACATTTTCAAAACTAGAAGAATGTCACTGCTTTCAGTCAAAAGAATACCATAATATTTCAAGTTAGCTTTAAGTAGCCAATGCATTAGAAAAGATATTTTTCACTGCTATGATGACATAAAATTTAATCATTCAGCATCAAACTTTTTTTTCATTCAACATAAAAATATTAAAAATATAATAATTATTTAACTTGCTGAAAAATAAGATAGGTACTTCGCTTTCTGTTAATCTCTTAATTTAAAGTATATTTAATTGTAATAAAGCTAAATATATGTCTATTTGATGATATCTATTTTCTACTAAAAAAGTTAAAACACATGTCTATTTCAATTTTTTAATTGCATCATATTAAGTTTTAGTTGATAACTAATTACGCAAACAATAAAAAAATAATTAAAATCTGTGGTCATATATACTTTCACAATATGGGCCAAAAATACATAAAATTGTTATTTTATTTCAACCTAAATTTAAAATCAAATTTAAAGAAGCAGACTAGCATTTTCATAATCCTAACATTTCACATTTTTTTACGATTCCTGCAATTAATATATAAAAAAATTATTATTGTAATCTAATCTATTTTATTAAATGAAATTAATTTTCACCTGTATCAGCAATTCTATCTAATCCATGAAGTGTGCGCATTTCTTCTTTAAACCATTCGCCAGCTTTTCTTGACGTTAGACTTAATAAAGTCTCCATAGCTAATATACCCGTCTAAAAAATATTTAAATATATATATATATATATACACACACACACACCACATATAAAAACACAGAAAAAAATATCCCGATAAATTTAAATAAAGATTGAATCACATCATATAATAAATACTATAGAAAATGTCATCTCCAGAAGTTAGTTCATAGTAATAAAGTATATATAATTAGTAAGAAGAATCTGCTTTACTTCTTCCCATTCACTCCAATTTTCTAAGAAATATTTTTCAAAAGAGCAAAATCTTTATATGCAGGGGATGCTGCTATGCAATTAGAGTTTTAGTTTGTTACTCAGATTCACAAAGCAACAGAATATCATATTCATACAGCTATGGCAACACTTTTTCAAATTAAAAAAATAATCATTAGATTGTAAGTATCTTCGTGCCAAGACATCCATATGAAAATTTCGGTATGTATGAACAATGATCAGCTTACATGAGAGTGCTGGTACCTTCACAACAAGACACTGTTATGCAGCAATCTCTTGAATCAAATTACCAAAATAACTTCAGTTACTGGCAAATCAATATTTTTACAGAAAATCTGCAGCCTTCTTGATTTCCCAAGTGACATGAGATTCACATGATGAAATTTTGTCATTATATGCTTATGCTTAATCACTGATGTGGGAGGGCGGAAATCCAAACACCAAGAAAAAATTATTGTACAGTAATGAAATTTGGCCAATACATTTGTCTATGTAATATATTTAATTGACTACATTTTCAAGATCAAACGCTAATGCAAGTGCAAGAAGAGCCATTTTAAATGTGAAATAACACAACACATGCAAATGTGCATGCATTGTGTCGTACAGGTGAAGGATTCTCTTTGTGGGATAGAATTCCATGCCTGCTGCACTTGGTCAGAGGCTGCAGCTGTCATCCAAAGATGTCCCATATGTGCTTGACTGGAGAAAGATCTGATGATCTAGCAGGCCAAGGCAACATGTCAACACTCTGTAGAGCATGTTGGGTTACAGCAACGGTTATGAGGATGAACATCATCCTCTTGGAAAACACCCACTTGAATGATGCTCATGAATGATAGTAGAACAGGTTAAATCAGCACACTGAAGTACAAATTTGCTGTCAGGGCATGTGGGATAACCATGACAGTGTTTCTTCTGTCATATAAAATTGCTCCCCATGCCATAACTCCAAGTGTATGTCCAATGTGACTAGGCTACAAACAGGTTGGTTGCAGATGCTCACATGGCTTCCTTCTAACCAACATATGGTCATCACTGGCATTAAGGCAGAACTGTCTTTCATCAGAAAACACAACAGTTCTCCACTCTGTATTCCAATGAGCTCTAGCTTGACACCACTGATGTTGCAAATGGCAGTGGTTTGGAGTCAGTGTAATGTACGCTACAGGGCTGGTGGTTCAGAGCTGACCTTAACTAACTGATTTGTAAAAGTTTATTGTGCCACTGTGGTGCCAACAGTTGCTCAAATTTCTGCTGCAGATGCAATATGATGTGCCACAGCCATATGCTGAGCATGGTGGTTTTCCCACTCAGCAATGCCACGCAGCCACCTGGAACCCGGGCTTCTTGAGTTAGTATGTTCCCTTGACTAGTGCTGCCAACAATCATGCACAGCGGACACATTCTTGCCAAGTATTTCTGCAAGATTGCGAAAAGAAATTCCACCTTCTGTTAGCCCTATATTACATAACCTCCTTCAAACTCACTGAGTTGCTGATAATAGCTTCTTCATCTTCATAAAAGCATTCTTGACCAACATCAATTTGTTATGTCAAATTTCAATGATAACAGGGTTCGTAGCCACATTTTAGTTAAAAAAGCACTTTTCAAGCACATTTTAAGGGAAAAAATACGCATCTGTCTAATTACATTATACACTACTGCATAATCTTAAAAGAAAAATTAGACTTGTAATTTAAAATATGGAGAAATGCAGTATTTATTAAGAGAGAATGAGCATTACCTCAACCATGGAAAAAATTACTTTTTTTTTAAATTTTTAAATAACAGTTCAATTTCACAGAACTAGTTTACAATGAGAGAGAAAAAAAAAAAAAAAAAAAAAAAAAAAAAAAACTATGCAAAGAACTAAAACTACATTACAAGATTTAATGATGAAATTTCAGTTTAAAATAGAGAAAATAAATAATAATAAAGCCATATTTATTGTATTCGCTTGGCACCTAATAATAAATACAATTTATTTTTCCACTCATATTAATATTTAAATAATTTAACTTAAATCAAAATTCTGAACATTTTCTAAACTTTCGTTGCAAAACAGTTTTCCCTTAACAGATATTGCAAAGCAAAGTAATTTAAGTAAAAAAGAGGGCTCTGGTGTAGAATTGCGTGCCCCTTCGATTAGCAATAAATTATGTTCAGTTTTGGCCATGAAACTCTATTTCTGGTTATTATGATAGTTTTAGCTTTGCTTTAGCATCCTGGATTTTTTAAGGGAAAATAGATCAATGTGTACATGGACAAACTTAAGGCAGTGCACAAGTTTGTGCAGTTCTCCGATGTTTCTTTAAGGGAAAATAGATTGATGTGTACATGGACACCAAGTTTATGCAATTCTTTGACTTCTTGTTTTGATTTTGTGTAGCAAACATCTTGAAATTGTGCCTTCATGCCATCAATCATAATCTTGGCATAAAAAACGAATTTGGGGTAAAAAAAAAAAAAAAACAAGGGGCGCCCAATTGTAAACTTTTACCAAAAAGAGGAACATTTCTGAAATCAAAAGATGGGAAACTGCTTCATGCAGTCATCCTTTAACAGTAAAAGCTTAACTAACCCGCATACTCGGGAAATAGCCAAATATTCCAGATAGTCGAGCGTGACTGGAAAGAGAGGAGAGAGGCAGATTAGCCATTCTTTAGATTTTTCGGTTTAAATTGTTTTTTGACATTTCAATATGTGCATCATCAAAAAAAAAAAAAAAAAAAAAAAAAAAACGACAAAAAAAAAAAAAAAAAAAAAAAAAAAAAAAAAAAAAAAAAAACAAACAAAAAAAAAAAAAAAATAAAAAAAAATAAGTCAACGGAAATGAAAAATTTCTGCTTAGCAAAGCACAGTAAAAACTCTTTAGGTATTCATAAACCAATCTCAGATGAACATCAAATTAATTACCTAGCAAAATATCGAAAAGGAAAAAGACTTACAATTTGGGGGTGTTTTTCATTCTAATTTTGAAAGAATTGATTCTAATTTTTTCATTTTTCGCTTGGATGGTAGACCGCAGAACTTTTAGTTCTATTCAATCCAGATTGAAGTGACAAAAAAAAAAAAGAAAAAAAAACCCTTGCTTGTTTTACAGCAACAGTAATGGTTTCAATATTCGAGATTTTGCAAAGAAAGGGAGAACCTCCCAACCTCCGTACTGTATAATGTACTCTCTCTCAAAAAAAAAAAAATTATTTTGACTATTTGATTATTTTTCCTTTATTTAAGCCATTCTGAATATTATTCCTCAGAAAGCTACTCTGTGTTAAAACACACTTACCCATTTTTGGAAGTTTATCTTTACTTCAGTTACTGCAATTATATTATAATAAATGTTCATACATATGCTCATAATATAAGCATAACAATCATAATAAATGCAAATATGAACTGACCATGCCGAGCGAGAATGCAAATTATTAAAATCTTAATAGAAATTCAAACATGTGTAGTATTTGGGTGGGAGGAAAAGAATACCGAATGTACCAGAATTTTCTAGCGCTTTCGCAATTCTTTGACCAATAGAACAATGTGCATGTGTCTGTACTATCGCGAGCACCACAGGTTATGTTAATGCAGAGAAAGCGGAAAAAGCTATTTCCAGGAGTATAATTCACCATCGGCTTTGCTATGGGGAAAAAAATGTGCATTCATTAAAAAAAGGGGGGCAATAAAAACAAAAAAGGGGGGCTTTAAAGAAAAAGTAAACACCTATAAGAATCTTTATATTTTATTTTCAAATATAAGGAACAGCTTATATCACTTATAAGGGCCACTATGAACCCTGGATAAATAACACTTATAAATGCTACAGCACATATGTAAAGCAAACTTGATTTGCATGTCCATAATGGTGGCACTAGCACCTCACTTACGCTTCTAGTGTGAAATCTGAATAGACGTCATCTTTCAGATGCATAAACATGACTACCTAATTTCGTTTATCTAGCACAACTCCTTCTTGGTGTTGTTCTTCATGGGATTTTTTTTCCCTTCAGTGTATCAAATATTTAATTACAACACATTTAATAAGATCTTTAAACCATACCTGCATTGCTGTTAGTCAAAGAGATAATGAATATAAGCCCAAAATTATATACTGAGTCATCCGGAAAGCATTGCACTTTTTCAAATCAAAGTGTGTTTTCTTCTAATTATTTTCGTACTGTTGATTAAAAATGACCTCTATTGAGGCAGATATTTAAATATGGTCTCTTCCACTCCCATTGCATTATTCTAACATGTGTTATGGTGTAATTTTGTTTCAGTGAAATTCTACAAAAGGAGAAGCCAAAAGTTAATTTTCATCCCTTTATGCTCTCTTATTTTAAAAAGGAAAAAAATTTGCTAGTCAGGTTTTTAATACAATTTTTACTGTATATATGAAAAGTGCTCTTGCTGATACGAATGTGTTGTACTGATTGATGTTTAAGCATGAAATTTCAGCATCGAAAATGATGCCTCCTCTGAATGACAATCAACAAATACCTGTTAAAAGCAGATAATTACTGAAGCCACATTATACATTTCAGAAATTAATAAGACAAATTAAATATTCCAAAACGTTCATGATCATTTGAATAGAAGTGGGCATGTAACCCATTACAACGTACAAGTACTCCCTACTTACCATAGTAGGATATACTTGCTCAAGTTTCAACATATGATTCTTTTCTGAAAAGAAATATAGTAACTCCTTCTTTGACAAGGCTCATTATTGGAGACGAGAAGTGGGTACTAAATGCTACAGAAAACGATCCTGAATCAAGCCAAACAGTAATATCAAGAGGGGGTAGGCATCACAAAAAGTAATTTTTCATGCAAGGTAGGAAGGACTACATAGGAACTGTACACTATGGATTGTTGCCACCAAATCAGATAATATATTCACAAAAATACTATTCTCATATGGCACACTTAAAGGCATTTTGATGAATGTCAGACAAAGACTTACTGAGTACGGCTGGATGCTTTGTGTCACACCCCATATTCATTAGATCTTTCACACCCCTCAGATTTTCATCTTTTCAAGTCACTTCAAAATTCTCTAAACAACCTGGAAATTACTTCTTTAAGAGACTTTCAAACAGCACCTCGATAACTTAAAAAAAAGGTGGGGGAGAATTTTGCAGTTGACGGAGAGACAATAAAAAATCATAGAACAAAATCGTTTTTATGTGATTCAAACCATTTCCTTGTGTTTTCTGTACTGCTTCATATGCATTTATCATCCATAAACCCTAGACCTTGCCAGATGACCCAATATAAAAATATCTTAGTCAAGATACATTCAATGGAAATTAGTCTAAGACACCAAGCTTATCTAAAAACACTATTCAACCATTTCTATACAATTATTCACATTTAAAGAAAGAAAGAAAAAAAAAAAAAAAAAACCACCTGCATTGAACAAGTTTAATCAATTTAGACTGGTAGATGATTCTCCGCACTGTTTTCCAATATAATAGATTCATCATACATAACAGTGGTTGTCAACCTGTGGTATGTGTACTCCTGGAGGTATGCAATGATTTAATCTGGGATATGGGGGAAAATATAATTGAGGAAAATAACATAGCAATAGAATAAATACTGATAAAAAGCAAAATATAATTAAAGTTTAATTTCTCACTTAAGAGGTACAGCAATCATAAGAACTGTCAATATGATCATTACTGACTGAAATGCATCCAAGCATTGCAATTATATCATTAACTATCTTCACCAACATCTGTCAAATTACTGGATTAATTATGCTTCATGGCCGCACCAATGGATGAGTAGTTTTAAGTCCTGAATATTAATAGCTCGACTTTGGTTTAAATCAGGAAACAGGCTGGCTACATTAATGGTTTCCTTCATGTCTGATATGAGTACAAGCCAGTTTTCCACAGAAAGTCCTTCATAAAGGCATAACTCCTGTTAGGCATATAGCTCTAGTGTGCTTTGCAATGATCAAATTACCTAATCTTATGCATTGTATGTAGCTGCTTCCTTCAATCTATCGCTAAGCATCATACAAACCAACTAGCAGCTAACTGTACTTTGATTACTGAATGAATTATCATCTCATCTACGTAGATTTATGTTTTTACAATCTTAATATTCAAACTAGTTTGTGTTATTTTAAAAGCTGTTAAAAGCAAAGTGCTATTTACAGAAAAATAGATAAATGGCTAAAATGAAACTCTGCACAGAACTGATATTACCTGTATATAATAAAAGGTAGTGTTTGCACCATGTGCTGCTTTGAAGATATTTGTTTCAGTTACGCTTGAAGTTTTACAAGGATGAATAATTTGAAGATTTGCATACTTATTGAACAATTTAAGATTACAGAAATGTTTTATAACTGTTTTCAAAGCACCCAAGAGAACTATGATCAAAAATTAGATTTGGGGTTATCCACCTGTTGAAGAAAATCACATCAAAATATCTAAAACATTTTACAACTTCTTATCAGAAAATAAGCTTCAGTTCGGGAAATGAAAAAAATTTAAGAAGTCACTATTCACAATGTTGGTTCACAAATTACTTTCCAAAACAAGGTGAGAACAAATGCTTTCAGGCATTTCAATAAAGATCTCTTTAAAGAAGCGTCAAAATTATCATATGCTGGAAAAGAATAACTTATTAACTACATTTTTTCGAACTTTTTTTCATTGAAGTTTATAATTTTATGGTAGAAAGGCTTATTATGAGAATACTGGAGTAGATGAAATGGTCATAGGTCTGAAGGGGAGAGTCTAGGAGTACTTTATAGTTTAAAAAGGGTACATGAAAGGTAAAAGGTTGGGAACCGCTGATATACAGGAATTAAACACAAATTTATAAAGTGTTTTACACTGGCTTTGAAGTACAGAAAAATACACATAATATTATATAATATAAAAAAAAAAAAAAGACATTTAGATCAAACATACATTAGTTCAAAATTAAAATATATATGTACTTACATTTATATTATCAAGTTTCAAATGTTTGGCATGTCCTTTCTGCTGCATTTCTTCACATAATTGATACACCTTCTCCCTATGCTTATCCTGCATAGCACATAAAGCAGGATCCTTTAGAATTAAATCAATTTCTTTTTCAGGATTTAACATTTCAGGGTCTGTCTCCAGTAACTGCAGCATTAATGATAGAGTACTTGCTTCAATGTCCATAGTAAGTCGATCTTGGCTTAGAACGAACATTAAAGTTGCTGTACACAAAGCCAAATTCTAAAAGAGAAATTCAAAATTAATAAAAAAACATATATAATGCAGACACTTTTAAAGCATGAATATATTTGTTATACAAGTACATTTAGAAAATAGTTTCTACGCTCTTTTACTCAGAAAAAAATTCTTTTCTTTTTCATACAAAATTTAAAAATGAAATTAAATTTTTATTGCCCTTTTTAAATTCCCCTTCTAATTTTAAATTTTCTAGTATGTAGTGCAGCCTACATTAAGAAAGTGAAATGACATAAATATAACTATATAAATATACAAGCTAATATTTACAGAATTAAGTACATAACTTTTAGACAATTTGAAGTTACACAACTGGAGAAAATTCTACACATTTAAATTATCTAAGTAGCTTTCAGCAGTTAGCCCATTTCCTTCTTCTTTCTTTCAATGCACATGAATTTTACAAGACTTAACACACCTACACAAACTGAATTACACAGTCAAGGATCAATGTAAAATGCATGACCACAAAATTTTTTATTTGGCCTATTTTGATTTATTAATAAATCACACATGAATAAAATTTCACAAAGAACTGCGGTACTTTTTTAAATATATGCATCAGAGCATTGACGTATTATAAAGACACAGCCCATATAGAATTAGAGTGGCATACATATGCATCACATTACTGAAAATTTAAATAAAAAAATTTAATAAAACATGTGTATGACTATCTAACATGTATCTTAAAAAGGATTTTGCACTTTTTATTCCAAACTGCGATGAAAATAGAGAAACAGAAGGATTGGATTGGATTTTTCAATTCTGGCAAAGCACACGAGGACTATCTGCCTAAAGGAAGGGATGCCTTCGTAGAGACTTTCTAAGGGAAACTAGCTCGTATACATGTTACACATGGGGAAAACCATGAAAACGCCCATGCAGCCAGCCTGTTCGCCGGATTTGCACTTTGAACTGAACTACCAGTGTTCCACTCGGTCTTTACTGCTCGGCCGATGGTGGGCCGGAGAAACAGAAGGTAAATCCCCTTAGTCAATAAAAACATCAGAACTTTGTATCCAGAATAGCAGTATTATTTAATATGGAAAACCAAAATCAATTAACAAAACCTTTGATGTACACTTATTTGTTTAACTTTTAATTTTTCTACACACCCCTTAAATTATGTAAATTTTAATACTGGTTTCTTTATCATTAAATTACACTCACATAAAAAACAGAAATTTATGCCTCTGAAATCAGTCACTGGGCTTTGACATATATAGCAAATAAAATATTCATATATTGTTGCCCTTACTTAAAATGTAACAAATTTACAAACCCCATCATCTCCAATCAGAGATGACATCATAATCAGGCATCTAGCATAGTGATTTTCAAACAGGGTCAGCTAACATGCTGACAGCAGCAACTAGGTCTATCTTGCTTTAAATTACCTTGTTTAATACATATGGAGTGCTGAACTGAAAATTGCTGCAGTTGGGCCTTTTTATAATAGTTATGCATTATCATAATTTTACAAATAAAAATAAATATCATAAATACAATATTTGAAAATTAAGACAAAAACTTTAAATAAAACAAATTATTAAACAATTAAAGCACATTTTTAATTAAATGTACAGAAATAGCAAGCTGTCAATAGAATGAAATCAATTTTTGAATGATTTTGCAAAGAATTTTTAAAAAAGGGCAAATGTTTTAGAATAAAAATGTATGGTAACAGCTCATTATCTGAAATCAGAAATGTTGTCTGCTACTTTTAAATTTATTGGCTTTCCAAACAGAAATATTCCTATTCCATATTTAAAAAATGCTATAAGATGCATGGTATTAAAATCCCTAAGTATAAAATAAGCAATAATATTAATTGGAAAGGGAAAAACTGTCATTCAGTACTTGTATCTGAGAAACAGACTCCAAATGAATATCTGAAAAAGATATGTACTATTTCTAATACTTCTAAAGTTAAATCTTTGTTAATAACAGAAAATCCGGTGAAGCAGAAATCAACTAACTGGAAAGGCTTAAATCTATAGCAAGAATTAATAAAATAATAAACCAAGATTTACAAATAAAAAAGGTAAAAAAATATAATGTTTGCCAGCCTTTGCCAAGACATGTGGCTCAACGCAGAACCATTTCCAGAACCCTGTATGAAAACAATTTAGCAGACGATAAATGGAATTAAACTGTGATCTTTGATGAAGCATGTGGTTTACCCAAATGACTGCAATAAAAAGAGGTCTATTTATTATCAAAAATGAAGAGAAAAAAATGTGCAAACTTCGGTCTTCCAATGCAAAGAATGTTTCAATATGGAGTTTATGATTGTTGTAAGATGGTTACAATGGGAAATTAAGAATAAAAAGAGAGGGGGGGGAAATGTTACACTCAACTCAACATACTATCAAGAGAAAGTTTTACGTCCAATATTTACAGAAGATATTCTATTTCCTTATCCCGGTGACTTTCAAAGAGTGAAACTTCAATGAGACAAACATGTCATACTTCAAAATGTACTTTTGCATTTCTTGAAAAAAATTAAGACTGATATGGGTATTCTACATATATCTTTAAATATATTCCTTTGAAGTCCCCTGATGCTTCACCCATGGAATATTGCACCTTTGATCTCTTAAAAAGAGCTCGTTTTAAGCACAAACCCTTCATGATTGATGAACTCTTGGACATAGCGGAAGATGAAAGGAAATCAATATCCCTGAACATTCAATAAAAAGCTCTTCAATCATGCCTTCAGGAAATTTTTCTCAATGACAAAAAGACTTTTTGAATGATAAAAATATATTTGTTAATAAGAAATTAATTTTAAATAGTTGCTAATTAATATCTGAGAGCTCAAATACCAATGCTTAAATGCAAGCAGTACAAAAATACTTATATGGAAATGAGGGAGGGAGGACATTTTTATTATTTGCATCTTTCAACACACACACACACCACACAACACACAAAAAAAAAAAAAAAAAAAAAAAAAAAAAAAAAAAAAAAAAAAAAAAATCTGTTTTCGTGCAAATGCTATTAATGATGCAGATTTTGCTTTCACTAAGAAAGAAACTTCACAATTTTGTTCATAGCAATTGCCCCATAGGCCTGCTTTTGCTAATCAAAGTTTTTCTAATGTGTCATTACTAATATTAGATACAAATTCTATCCTTGTTTTTGCAATAACACTGAAATTCCTCTGGCACTCTGCATTACAACGAAGAATTGTGAGAATGGCCAATATTATTCTAGACAATTCACTATACTTTAAAATTCCATCAGCGTCTTTCAGTTTTTCAGTTAAACTCTACTGAGTGTCAATCCTGTCTGGTTTATAATTTTATCCGAGTTTTCTAGTTGTAAACTGCAAAATTGCAACTGAAAGTTATCAGTTGCAACATCAGTATCATCGTCTTTCAAATCTAAATGAAGTAACACTGAAATCTACTTGAAAAATATACTGTATCAGGAAAAGGTGTGTTTGCTAGAGCAGAAACATCTGCAACTTTTACATATAAAATCACTTCACCGTTGATTGGAAATTTATATAGTATGCAATCACATACTCGGCAGAAGTAACTTCTAAAACATGGAAATAAAACTTAATTTTGTTTTTCTCTTAAAGTTCTTCCACTATATTTATTATTTGCAGTCTCTATTACCAGATCTTCATCTTTCTTCTGACTTTCTATTTCAACATAAATCACATCATATTTAGAAGACAAAACAAACATTAGTTTTACAAATTCTGATAAAATGTCTTTAAACAGATCATAAATCATTGATTGCAAAACATGAATTAATGGAATTCTGCTTTGTAGAACTGTGTTAAGAACATCGAATGATGGCAAGATGAATTATACAAAAAGAAGAGCTTATAGAATTATACAAGAGCTTTGTTAAGCTTCGAAGACAAAAACACAAACTTCATAAGATAAAACTTACAGCAATCGGTAAATGTTTCCCTTTATTTAGCATTTTTTTTTTTTATCTTGAGAGAAATTTGTATCATCTTTACGCTTATATTTTGTAGCATTATTTTGAGAACTGCTAATTAAATTGCTCACTAGTCCAGAAATTATTTTATTTCTCACAAACCTATTTTTAACAGTGGAAGTAGTAACTACATTTACTTTACCTATTTTATAACTTTCAATAGAGCCTTTTATCTTAACTTTAGAAGCATTTATTTCTTCTTTAAAAAAAAAGTATTATGCAGCTGTTGGCATTATTTCAATTTTTTTCTTCCTTTCAGAAATCTTTCAAGATAATGATAAATATCAACAATGTGTTCATCTACAGTTATTGGCCCTTTTTCAGCTGCTAAAGATGAGAGGTGGCAGGTGCACATCATAATTTGAGAATCTGAATTTTTCTTTTTTAAGATGTCTGCAACACTAGTCTTCAAGCCTACCTTTATTAGCGCCAAGTATTAAGTCATTATCCTGAGGAATTGCATTTTCTTTTAAAGTTTTAATAATTAGCTGTTGTTAAAGCCTGCCAAATGTCCTTCTAAAATGGAGACTACACCCAGGTTCTGAAGACACTGGATTAAAAAGAGAAACAACAATTGGATGCAGTTTTGAACCAGTATTACAGTTTCCATCCATATAGAGGTAGAATGGAATTTTTTCAATGCAATCAATAAATGAAGATGAATTTTTTATACCCATTTCTTTAACATTTGCAACCGTTTTTATCCCTGCACTTGAGTATTTTTTAGCGATTTCAATATCAGCAACACTTTTCTAAATGAAGCTCCGGTGTAATTCAATGCATTCAATGGAAGTTTATGCTTAAGTAAAAAGGCAGAAAACAGGCATCCTGCATTAATAATTTTTTAGTCCTTTATTTTCACAGTTAAGATTTACATTTTCATTCCCCCCCCCAAAGGAACTCATGTTGTCCTTGTGTTTTTGTGTACACATATGTTTGAGAACATCAGCCCTTCCACTGTACGAAATCGAAAAATCGCAATGACAAATGGTACACATCACAATGTACTATATTTCCTTGAAATAATGGAAGGAAAGTCATCTGTGTATGATTTCTGAAAAGTGGATGACTATTTTAACTTTTTTGCAGACAACTAAAACAAAAGATCATAATTTCTTACACTATTTCCTCGAAAGCACACACACTCACACTGCTCAGCAACAAGATGAATGAAATAACAACCTCAATCTTGCTTTGTGCTCCGGCTAATATATGCCAAATAACATGCACTGGCACTCAATGCTCATTGGAGAACTGGAACATGACATTTTTGGACATGGCACTTTCTTTATTCACAAAGCAGAAACATGCCATAATTTCTCACTCATAAAACAATTTAGATTTTCTTTTATGTGTTATCTAAAGAAAAACCGTCTGCTTTCAGATGGCCAATTCCCCCCCCCCCGTGTGTGTGTGTGTGTGAAAATAATGAAGCATTAACCATGATACATAAATATTAGTTTTTTGAGAATAAGAAAAAGTGGGAGAAAAAAATCAGGAGTTGTAAATTGGGTTGGTGGGAGAATGGTCGGAAATCAGGAGAGTTGGCAACTCTGAGCATGGAAATTACAATGCAGACTCAGAGTTTAAAAAAGTGATTAGATCAAACATTTAAAAAATATTTATATTTAAAACATTAATTAAATGGCCCTGAAATAGTTCTAAAAATGTGTAAACATCTTTTGTATACACTAACCCTCTCAGTGGCACGGATTTTTGGATCTGTCATGAAGACCTGTATGTAAACAGCATTTATTAGCTAAATTTGTAAAATTACTTATTTTAGTGCATATTTTCATACACTTACATTCATCAAAATGACATTTACATTATTAAAGAAAGTAAAATAGTTTAAATTATATGCAAATATATATCAAGTCAAAAAAATCTCATGCCCAGATAAAGGCAGTGATGGTGGTCAGAGGGTTAAAAGTCAGAGGAAGGCTTTGTCAATGACAACCTACTAAAAAATTACACAATAAACAGATCAACATATTCAATTTAATGCTGATGGAATCAGATATTTAATGTTCTTATAGACAAAATAAAATCTATCAGTTATTACTTATGGAGTATTTTCCACAAATAACGTAAAAGCATAAAAAAGTCAACTTACAGGATCAGATGGAGCATCTTTTAAGGCACTAAATATTTTAGGCATAGTCCCATGGGCACGTAGGTGTATGCGAAAGGCAGGTCCCATACATTTGGCAGCAAGGTTCAGTACGCTAAATATTGATAACTCAATTTAATTAACAATCACAAAATCTTTATATACTGAAACATTTCCTCTAAATAAAAAGTAATTTTCTTACATAATAGCAAATCATAAAGTCTATCTAGAAGCAATAGAAAAACCAACATAAAAAAAGCACACAAACTATTTAAAACAGAAAAATTCAATGGTTTAAGTTCTGCTCTACTTTAATTATAATTTTTTTAATTAATATTTTATAAATTTTAATTTTTATATTAGGGATTTAGTTCTTTTAAAATTTATTACTATCTGAGATCCAGACTCATTGGGACTACCGTGATTCCGGATTTTTTGGGTATTAGATCATCATTTAAATCTGGTACATGGCGTAGAATTATAAAATTAAAAATATGAAATCATGATTTATGAAATAATGAAGCATTTATGATCTAAAGGGTATCGAAATGTACACACACACACACAAAGCTCAGTATTTATTTGCTTACTGTATTAAACATTTCTTTCAACGTACATTGTTTAAGCTGCTTCGTTTTTTTGGGCTAATACTTTCTCTTTAATTCTGTAAACAGACATAATTGCTTGTTCAGTTACATTGTTCAAGTCCTGTAACTGCTGTGTCGAGAATTCCAACTAACTTGTCAATCAAAATTTTTTTGTTTTCAGTAACCTCTCTGTCACTTTCTTCACTATCTCTAGCAATATTTTCTGGATCTAGAACCATGCAACAGATTTCACCATCCATTAACTGATTGATGACTGAGGAGCATTATCATCATAATGAAAAACTTCTTTTATATCATCTTCATTTATTACTGCTTCTCCACATTTCTTTACAAAATCTGTTAATTGGAAAATTTCACCTTTGGTTTGCGATATCCGAAAACCTTTAAAATTTATGGCTCTCATCATAAAATGTAGCTATCGTTCACTATACATATTTTGCTATGTATCATGAGATGAGACTAAAAATAAGTTGCTCAGCTAAATTTTATCTTATTTCTATTTCACACTGAGACAATTAAGCCTGAATTGTATTAGTGTAGTTATTTACTATACTTATGTTTGTTTCTTGCACATGCCTAAGGCTTATCTGAGTCCAGAATAAATAAATTCCCACATGTGCTCAAGGCTTATTGAGGGCCAGTGCTAGATAGACCTGGTGCAGTCTTTGCGAGTCCTGAATTCTGCTGCCCGGTGCGGCCATACGAGCCCTGGCGCTGGTTCTAGGTTTAAGTGAATAATAAATCAGTTATTCTTAATTCAAATAGCACTAACTGTAATCTTTTGTTCTGCGAGTATCATTAACAAAATCTATTTTTAGCATATGGAAAGAAATTTTTGTTAAATTTTTCCTCGTCAGCATTTCTTAGCACATTTAACTTAAATCTGTAACCATTGCCAAGCGTAATATCAATATAAAAAGTTACCATACTCTTTGTTATTCAGTTACAAATATATATATATAAAAAAATGTTTAAGCATCGCTACACAAGTCAGTACTAAAGTTGTCACGCACTGGTAAAACATGTGATGATGAAAGCAAAATATAATAAATAATAAAGATTTGCCAGGTTGGCATCAGGGATATAAAATATTAGTAGATGTAAATCAATGACATATCTAGGTAGAATGTTTTGGCTTGAGCAGATATGCAACTGAGGAGCCAAATTATTGATCATAGAAATTTATGCTAAAATGATTGTTTCTTCAATAACGAGATCATTTAGTTAGTGCCGAAATGAAATTAAGAATCGGGACTCTCCACGTTTATATTATGCCTGGAGGGGTATTAAATGTGCATTCGTAAAGCATACAAATAATAATTTTATTAAAATTAACAAATTTAAATGCGCATGCACAAAGCATTAAAAAAAAGTTGGTGGTGGCTCTGAGGCCTGGATTTTAGGCACTCTGGATATCGGACGTCCAGATCTTGAACTTTGTACTGTATACGGAAATGTTAATAATTTTAATATTTCTGATTACCTGCAACCCCCTATAAGGTATTCTTGAGGCAATGCACTATGTCACTAAAATATGAAACCCATAACCTAATGAAAATTTATTTATGTGGCAATGCACCCTGGTATGCACAGCAGAGATCAATAGTGGGTATTTTTGTTATAAAAGCTATTAGCACCAATCATTAGTGCTTATTTTTGTTGCAGTGAGAGCAGTCATTAGTGTGTTTTTATTCCACTAACTGCATTTTTTTTCCCTTGTAAGGAATCCCAGTGGGACTATACAGTGTACTGGCTGATGTAAAAGTAAGTGTTGTACTTCTTCAAAAATATAGTGTTTTGCCAAAGAGTAGAAAATGCAAAAATTTGTATTTAATGATGTACACCATAAATGAATGAATTTGTATGCCAATATCACAATTTGTACAATTATCTTAAAATATCTTATTAGTAAAAACCTCAAAGTATAGGAAAACAAAGCATATTAATATGCTACAGCATAAAACAATTACATTTTATGGATAAAAATTTATGTGGTGATACTGAATTTGAGCATTTTTTTTTTTTTTCTTTATTATTATTATTTTTTTTTTAAGTTCAAGGGGTTTTTGTCCCTGAGGGACTATTGCTTTCATTTGCGATTTTTGCGTCGATCACTCTGAATGCCTGTTACTGTTGCAACCAAATATTATTGTCCTGTATTATATTTGAAGAAATTAAATAATGAAGAATCTGCATAAATGTATGTATGTTTCTCTCATTGTGATAAAACAGTACCTAGATTCCAGATATGAACTCCTGGAGGTTATATAAAGGGTTCCTTGCCAGTGTGGTTGAATTTACATAAGAGCCTAAGAGCGCCTTAAAATTTTCTGCTAAGGAAATTGTGGCATATGTTAGGAAAAAAGTTGTCCCAGACTGTTGGTCAGAAAATCACATTTTCCATTTCTCTGAGCCCCTATTATTCAAGAAACACCTTCCATTGGCAAATCAGATTTTCAGACATCAATTTCAATCTGTTTTTACCCTCAGCTTTTAAGAAAATTATTTCACACTTTTCATTTTTCATCAATAGATGGCACCAGTATTCCTTCCTCTTATTCTTACTGCCCTATCTTATCAGTTTTCTCTCTGGTCATTAGCACTTCTGCAGCTGATTCTATATTTTAAAGCTCACACTAATCCAGCAAATTTATTGACATTATGCTAATTCTTGTTGATTTAACTCAAAATTCTTTTAAATTAATTTTTTGAACAATTTATAATTTTAAGTCAATGCTAACAAATGCAACAGGTTCTAGTGCTATGAATATGCTTAATTTAGCATGTGTCATAAGCTTGACCAATTTCATTAACCTTCTAGCAAGTGCGCCGTGCGCAAAGTTTACGATAAATTCAGTTTTTAATGCACATTTTTCGCATATCGCAGCTCAGACGTCTAAAGGTGATTTCTATTCCTCCTTTCAACCCTTTCCCACATCATGGAATGTGCCAACAGGAAGTCATATGACTTTTACTGGGCTTTTGTGCTTTGTTGCAGCTTCTTCGTAAAAGTTACAACACTCGTTTGGTCGTGGGTGAAAATTCAGAAAATATTTTTTTCTCAAATATTTTATAATTTTTTGTTATTAATTGGTGTTTTATTATTATTTTAATTTGTATAAATCTGACTCTATAATTTTATATCGATTTTCATGGCAAATAAGTATGCGCAACCAGCTGATTTTGCTCGCATTCTAGCAGAATTATCTGATGAAGAAAAAAGATACGGAAACCTTTGGATGTAAGAATAGCTATTTGAGTTAGGAAAATATCGAGAAAAATAATACCAGCAGTGAATCATAACAATATATTTCAGATGATGATGATGATGATAATAATGATACAGAAAAAAGAAATAATAATGATATGTTCTATGTTGGTAAGGATAAATATTTTAAGTGATGGAAAAAGAAGTATGCAAACTGCTCAAAGACGAAAAAGATGAATATTGTGAAAGTGTTACCATGCCAAGGATATAGAGGATGAAATAGGATCATTTTTGAAAATAATTAATATAAATATGCTTGATAAAATTCTGGAATGTACAAATAAATATATAAGTTTGCTAAAAGGCAAATATTCAAGAGACAGAGACTGCACTGTTACCTCAAGCCAGCTAGCACAGCACTATGCCGAAGGATCTTTCTGAAGAATTTATCTGTTAGCCTTATGATAGAGCATCTTCATTGGCATGCCAAAATCCAAACGTTACCTTTTATTTCAACATTTCTAAGTTGTAATAATGCTACTCCTAATGATGAAATGCCAGTGCAATACTCATCAAAAGGAGGAACATGCAGTTTGCGTTGTCAGAGAAAAAAAAAGATTTCATCCGCATCTACGACATGCATGATAGATACACATGTAAATGTCATTCTATTACCGAAATTTTTTATATGGAATGCAATGTGAACTTCGAACATTGAAGAATCTTTAGAATTCGGTTTTCCTATTTTTACTCTACTCTATTCTATTTCTATTATTACTATTCTTTATTTTCTTTTATTTCTATTTTTTCGAAATAAATATAAATATTAAAATTTTACTTTTACTTACTAAAGTTACTTCAAAATTAGTTTTTGTAACCAGTAAGAAGTAAATTTCCTTGCAGAAGTAAGTAATGCTAAACTTACGTTTTCCCCCTACCAATGTGAGTGTAGTTTTCTTTTTTGTTTGTATATACTTGCCTTTGATGAGTATTTAAATTAGCTTGGATTTTAAAACAAAGTTACTAAATAAAAAAATTTAAATTTTCTATAATGAAATACATCATTGCCTTTCTACCTAAATAAATAATGTAAACATTTAAAAATAATTTACTTTCATTTCAATGGTACATCAAACACATTTTGCAATAATAAGGTTAATATTTTATTTCTTAGCAAATTCATTGTCAATATTCACTCATTTCTGTCGTTTTTTGGGCCAAAACCAGTAAAATTACAGATGTCATAAAAAATAAGACACTTGCGTGCTCAAGTAAAATTGCCAAGCATGTATGCTGGAAGGTTAAACAAAAATTCAACCTTTTCTGACAATAAAAGTTATTTAAAAATAAATTATAAATAAGCATAAAAATAACTTGAAGATCCAATCCATAGAAATATTAATATTTTATTTCAAGCTATTAACAACATAACAAGTAAGCATTTTCTTATATACTCGAATAAAAAGGAGTATTTGTGAAATTTTAGATAAAACTTGCTCATCAAAATGATGTGTAACAGACCATATAGTCACAGTCACTTTTTATAAATTTATTTTATCTTGTGCTGGACCACAGAAAGCTTTTGAATGAAATATATATACAGTCAAAAGTCATTAATCCGGACTCGTCGGGACTTCCGGATTATCGATTTTTCCGGAGATCACATTTAATCTGGTGTGGCATGCAATATTATAAATTAAAAAGAAAACATAATTTATGAAAAAAAGAACAATTACGATCTAAAGGGTACAACATTTACAAACAAAAAAAAAAAAAAAAAAAGCTTAATATTTATTTGTTTATTTTATTACATTTCTTTCAATGTTGTTTTTAAGTTGCTTCATTTTAGTGATAATCTTTCTCTTATTCTATAAACATACCTAATTTCTTGGTCAGTTTCAAGTTCCGCTGTTTAATCTGTAATTCTGTGTCAAGAATACCGACTAATTTGTCAATCAAATTTTTTCGTTTTCAATAACCTCTGTGTCACTTCTTCACTATCGAATGAATTTAATGACGAGGATTTTTAAATCTTATCAAAGGTGGTACATTGAGATGAAAGCTCATTTAGTAAGGAATTAAAAGCCCAATAAAATACCTCTGCCCTGAAGATAAGGAAGGCGACAGATAACTTCATCATTGCGCTTCCGGCGTTCCCCCCTCCGCAGAACATGAAATAAATTTCGAATACAGAAACATAGCTTCGTCAATTCCACTTTTTGTTTAATGGCAAAGCTACTTTCGCTTTGTAATCCTTTACAAGTGTAAATATCTATCAGAATTCTAGTTGATGTAAACAAGTTCAACTTACCTTTTAAAATTTCTCTATCAGTCGCAAAAATAATCAGCGATCCAATTCGAGATTAAGGAACAACGCAATTGCAACATTAACTGAATTAGATAATTTGAGCTTAGTTATACCATCCGTTATACTCAATGCATGCGTAAACGTATTGCGCTCGCACACTCGCACGTAAAGTCTTACGCGCATGTCGTGCGCGAAGTTTGTGCTTTGAGGTCCGTATTAACATCTTCCTGATATGGGTCCGATTACGACTTTGACGGATATCTAAGTACACAAAGAAATAATACCTGCAATTTAAATTTCACACATTTTTTTCCTTTTCTTAGCTTAAAAACTAATTATAAATACTTTTCTAAACTCCATGATTAACGTCAATAATTAATATCAGACAAACGGATAAAATCCCCAACATTTTTTTCAAAAGATTTTTTTTTTTTTTGTTATATTAAACTTAAAGGACATACCTGAGACATCTGGTCCCTATGCCATTGCATTCTTGAACACATTCCAACAAATACTCAATGTCATCGTTGAATTCTTGAGTTTCGCCTGACTCATGACACTGGTACGCTTGTTTGACATTTTTAACAACAGTATAAAACTAATGAAGAAATGGGGAAAAAAAAAATAAACAGGAAAAAAATCAGAATATACAGTTAACTAAAGAAAAGCATGAAAAACCTTTTAATTTTAAACAATACAAACATTGCATTGGACTGATTTCAATCTTAAAATAATATTCACAATTACCAAGATACAAAACGTACTCACAATTTAGAAATTACAGACTCTCCCCCATTCAAAGACTTTATCACATGTGTAGTGGCCCAGTTATTGCATGAGAAATAATTATTTTTTATTGCATATATTTGTTCATGTGTTTAATTATTTTATAAAATTAATATTTTGTTAATACTCATATTTATATTTCTTTTATGCTGAATGGCTACAAGTAGTTCATATTTATATTTAAGTTTCTTTATGCTGAATGGCAACTAGTTTTGATTTATGACTGCTTGGTTTTGATTTTCGAAACGTTGCTATTCTAGCAGCATCGCATTTTCGATATCGGAAATTAAAAAGCAATAAACTTAGCTATTTTTTATAATTCATGCTGTTCCTAATCATAATTTAGTTTTCAACAATAGTATCCAAGGCCACACATGAAGTGCACTTGGTGTTTGGGTTGCTCAAGTTGATTTGTGCTAGAGGAAAGACAAGTTTTGCTATAGCTCCTCTTTGCCTTAGAGCACCATTTTTGTGTTTATTTCATCCTCAACCTCAAAATCGGAATACATCATACTGCATTTGTGTTTACACCAGCTTGTTATGATGTTATTTTCTCGTGCAGTGACTAAATAAGTGATTTTCACCAGTTATTTTTGGATTATTGATGGAGGAAAATGACTTCCCCCCCCCTTTATCATGTACTAATGTGAAAACGGCTGCTCGTCACCTCATGGCGGGCCTGCTTGATGAAATCACCTATTTTGTGGATGCAATTTTGGATAAAAACTGGACAGAACTCTTAAATAAGGATACATTCAATTGTGAAGACTATATTTATGTTCCACAAGAATTAAAAATGAACTGCAAGAATTAAAAATAACATTGAAGTAAAAATTAACTGCAAGAATTAAAAATAGTATTGAAGTAGTGAATAAGACGTATGCTGGCTTCATAGCCTATCTGAATGCACACAATAAACAGTATCTTATAAAGAAATATCAACACAAGAAGGGAATTACTGAAGGACTGCTTCATCTACTTCAAGGTAAGTGTGAGTATTTCAGCAAGTTAAATCCTAACTATGCAAATATTTCTTGTGATGGAAGTATTCATGAAAAAATATGTAAAACGATTCCTGATAATGCAGTTGATAACATGTGCAAAACTGTTACTGATAATACACCTAAAACTGTAGTTAATAACAATAATGAAAATTTATCTAAAAGTGCTATTATGTTATTATAGAAATGCTATTAATGTTATTGTAGAATTAAATGCTTGCAATGTTAATGTAAATGATAATAGTGCTATGACTCTTACCTTGGAAAGATCTAAGCCTAAAAGGCCACCTAAGAAAATAAGTAAACGCTCTCTAAAAGAGAGTCAAGACGCTGATGGTTTTACGCCGCCAAAAAATATGGCTCGACCATCTAAAATTATCAAACCCAATACTAACATACCTGTAAGTAACAAATTTGAAAACTTAGCTACAGATGTAAATGCAAATACTAGCAATGTTATGGATACTGACTCTGACGATGTGATAGTGGTGCAAGCACTCAAAATAAAACCAATTATGACTAAACCTACCATTAAATTTTCAGAATTTTGAAAAAAACTGAAGGATGAAACAAACTTGAACTTCGCAGGCAGAGTGTCTGGGGAGTTTTTAATTTTTTTTTCCAAATCAGAAGATGATCACCATTGTATCACTTGATACCTGGAGGAAAAAAAGATAGATCACTACCTGATTACCAATAAAATATAAACAAGCCCATAAAAGTTGTAATTAGATGCCTGTCAACTGGCTGTTCTCTCAGTGAAATAAAAGATGAATTCAGTAAAGTGGGTTTCCAAGTTAGAAAAGTACCCCAAATGCACCATTTAAAGACGGGTGCACATGCCCTTATTTCAACTCCAACTAGAAAATACATCGGGAGTAGAAAAATTATACAACCTGAACTATTTCATGCTTTTTTACATTGAAATTGTTGAGTACAAAGTGAGTGGTAGTGTTGTGCAGTGTCATAACTGCCAACACTTCCACCACAGTTCAGATATGTGCAGATTACAACCTCGATGATTCAAATGTGCGGGACCGCACAAAACAAGTGACTGTTTCGCGGGAAAAATTAAGAAACAGTAAAGTATTGCAACTGGCTTGGTACAGGAAATACAGCTAATTACAGGGGTTGTTCAAAATTTCAAAAAGTTATTAGGAACAGCCAAAATTCTGATAAAATCACACAGCAAAAACTGATAAAATAATACGAATGTTACTAAATCATCTTAAGTCAAAGCTGGAATTACTTATGCTAATGTTATACAAGATAAAATTGTGATTATAAGGACTGATCCAAAATCTAGGACTGAAATTAACAATCAAAGTGATAAACATGAAAAAAACATGGACTTGGACTATATACTTATGAAAATGTTTAAACTATTCAAAGAACTGAACAATATGTTCAAGGGTTACTCTCTGACAAACATAATTTTCAAAATCTCGGCTAAAATGCCAGAAATTAATGCTATTGAAAGTGCAATTGATAAATTGTTCAATCTTTTTGATGAAATTTTCACTGCAAATGAAAAATAATAACTTGAGAGTTGTAATTCATAGTCATAATTATCTAATATTCTATAATATAAATTTTATTCATTTTCTACCAGCCAAACTCTTAAATACTAGTAACATAAATTATTATGCTCTTCTGTAGTGTAACGCACTAAGTTCGAATTTGTTGCTTACATTCTCTCTAGTAGTCAGTTATCTTATGTATGCATAAATTATGCAATTTATTTTCAGTGTTTCTTCACTTTTTTATTCTTACCTACCAAAAGACTTAATTACACTCCAGCCATTAATATTTCGCAGGGATACTGCAAGAAAAGACTAGTTTCATCAGTGTTGTAAATTTTTCCTGAAGATGTTTCACTATTAATGAGTTTAATAAATTCATCTGCAAACACTTCAGCAGCTTCAGTATGAGCTGAAGCTTTTTCACCTGAAATTTTTAATTGCATTATACCACAGCAATTTTAAAATTCGGTTTATCTATTGAATATGTGGATTCAGGTTTACAGGGTTCATAGCCCCCTTTAGTTCCCCAAGCCCTATAAACACTTTTACGCAAATTTAAGAAAAAAAAATAAATAAATAAACACCTTCGAATTACATTATACACAACTCAATAACTTAAACACAGAAAATTTTAGACTTTCATTAAATTTGAGCATTGGCATATTTTATTAAGATAATGAGTACGATGTCAGTTCAAACATAAAGAAAATAAATCTAATAAGCCATATTAATTGTTTTTGTTTGGCAACTAATAATAAGACAATTTATTTTCCCACTCCTATTACTATTTAAGTAATTTGACTAAAGCAAAATTCTGTTCTGAACATTTTCTAAATTTTCACTTGCATATAGTTTTCCCTTCACATATATCCAATCAAAGTATTTAAGTAAAAAGAGTCACCATTCTTTCCGAAATCAGAAGAACGGAAATGCCTCAGCAGCATCCTTTAACATAAAAGCTAATTAACCCACATCTCGGAAATTGGCCGATATTCGGGTAGTAACTGTAAAAAAGAAGGATGGGAGATTGTTAGCCGTTCTTTAAGATTTTCACGGCTAATAAGGATTTGCACATTTCAAATATGTGCATTATATAAAATAGAAACTCACTGAATGATAGATAGTCTATTCTGCTTAGAAGCAAACAGTAAACTCTTTTAAGTGTTCATGACATAATCTCAGAATGAACATCAAATTAATTATCTCTGAAATACCAAAACGTTATTGAACAATACGTGTGGCGTAATTCTCCCATCCCTGACATGCGCATCCGAATCAGAATCAACAGCTGCCGCTATTCGAGAATAAAGAACTAATAAAAAGAAAGATACTTTTAATCTGGGGTGTTTCCTGATTCTAAGTTTGAACAGAAGCGCTAATTTCGGAATAGAATCATCTTTGCTTGGGTTGGGTAGACCGCAAAACTTTTAGGCCTATTCAAGCCAGATTGGACCGTGACAAAAACAAAAGTCTGCTGCTTCATAATGAGAGATTTTACAGAGAGAAGAACATCCAAACCTCCGTACTGAATAATGTATTGGCAAAATATAATATAATAAATAAATAAATAAATAAATAAAAATATTTCTGACTCATTCAATCACTTTCCTTTTCTTTAAAGCCATTCCGAAGATTATTCCTTAGAAAGCTAATCTTGTAAAAATATATACATTTTTTTGGAAGTTTATCTTACTTCAGTACTGCAATATTATTAAATGTTCATAATATGCTCATAATTAAGCATAACAATCATAATAAATGAATATGAACTGACATGCGGAACACAATGCAAATTATGAAATCTTGATAAAATTCAAACTGGTAGTATTTGGATGGGAGGAAAGAATCCGACTGTACCATAATGTTCTTCTACGGTTTTCGCAATTCTTTTGACCTAGAACGCGCCGTCCACCTGTTTGTAAACTCTCCAGCGCTCCATAGGTTACATTAATGCAGAGGAATGGGGAAGCTATTTCTGGGAGTATGATTCACCATCTGGGCTTGCATATAAGGAAGAAAAGTTTATTTAGTTTTCTCGGCTTTTGCTACGTGACAAAATGCACTTCATTAAACAAAGGATTAAAAAAACACTAAAACAAAAACTCAGGGCTTTAAAGAAAAAGTAAGGCACTATAGGCCTTTATATTTATTTTCAAATATAGGACTTAAGCACTTGTAAGGATGGCTACGAACCCTGTTTTAATTTCTTCATGATATATTTTGGCTCTAGACATTAGCAGTGGCTTTGCCAATGGCATGCCCTCGCTGTCTGACCACAGAATCATCAC